CAGTATGTGAGAGGGGGCAGGCTGGGCTGAGGGACCCCCCCCCCCCCCACACACACACCCAGTGCACGAATTTCGTGCACCGGGCCCCTACTTTTATATAAATTAAAAAATAATTGTTTTAAAAACAAATATCTTAACCTTGGGAGGAAATGGACATTTAAAAACTTGCTCATCTCCAGACTTTTAAGGTCTGATAGATCAGTATAATGGCCTAAAATAAGGCTTATGTTGTTACCGTTAATAAATTATATTGAAAAAATATATTGATATATCACAGTAGTTTACATTAAGTTTTTAGAATGAGTAGCCCTTCTATAATAGTTAATAGTAGTATGTCATTCAATGAATATTCATTGAGGGTTGCTATCTGTCAGCCAGTCCTCCTGGTGGTGGGAATGTAGCATTAAACAGACTCCCTGCCCTCATGGAGTATACTTTCTGGTGACACACACACATATTCTCCCGATGGTCCTTTCCCTCTGTTGCACTTTCAGTTTCTTCTCTAGAATGTGGTTAGACTCTCTGCTAGTCCTCCTAGAATAGTCTTTCCAAAATGCAGGTGTGATCTGACCAAGCCTTGGCCCACATTCTCAATGTGATAACCCAGAGCCTTCCATGGACCCCAACTCTCCACACCGTACACCCCAGCCTTATTGGTACTTCTTCATCTCTGAAGAGACATATACATCACAGCTCACATCAAGGTCCAGTAGTTCTCTGGAACCATACCTCTCTCTTTACCTCCTCTTCCTGTCTGTTAAGAGCCCTCTCAAATCTTTCAGAAGTCCTATTATGTCCTACTGTCAGAAGCCATCTATCCTTTCCCCACAGTTACACAGCATTGTTCATTCATCCATGTAAGCAGGCAGCAAATGTTTCTTAACATCCAGCATGTGCCAGGCACTGAGGATATAGAAATAAAGATAGAACCCTTGCTTTCAAAGAGGCCAGTCGTGGAAGACAGGCAGATAAACCAGTAATTAAGTGCTAGTGTTATAAGTGCTATTGATGGGCAAAGTGCTGTGGGAACTGAGCAAGGGGGCACGTAACCCAAGGCTGGGAGATACAGGGTAGATGGATAACCTGAGTTGAGTTACCCTTTGATTTAAAAACCATGAGGTTCTTTTTTAAAACACATTTTTATTGATTTCAGAGAGGAAGGGAATGGGAGAGAGAAACAGCAGTGATGAGAGAGAATCTTTGATTGGCTGCCTCCTGCACGCCCCCTACTGGGGATCGAGCCCACAACCCAGGCATGTGCCCTTGACCATAATCGAACCCAGGACCTTTCAGTCTGTAGGCCTACGGTCTAGGGCACCATGTGGTTCTAAAAGTCAGTTTGAACAGGAACATATGTTTTTTTACTGCACATTTCCCTTTTTGTTCCTGACTAGATTGTAAGCTCCAGGAGGTATAATTGTGGTTTAGTGAGTAGAGTGGAACAAAGGTGTAATATATATTTGATGGTTACTCTTACTCTTCCGTAGGCCATTAAAAGTAAGCTTTTAATTGGATTTCAGAGACTGACAACAATGACTTATGTTTTATTATTTATGTTTTCAGTATTCATATTTACTAACAAGCCAGCTGGAATCACAGCGAATCTACTGGGAAAACAAGATAGTTCGGATAGAGAAGGACACAGCAGAAGAAGTAAGTTTCTGGTTGAGTGACTGATGAAGTGCCACGTGGCAAGGGCAATCTGATGTTGGTTTGGGAAAAGGCAGAGTACAGAGACAAAGGAATCTTTGAATCTTTCTTCTTAGTCTGGTAGACAGGTAAAGAACTCTTCTGCCTCTAAAAAGAAACCTTTGTTCTATGTATGTCAGTTATGTTGCAGTAAAGCTGGAGTTAGGGGAAAGAAAAAAAAACAATTTGGAATCATTTGGCTCACCTCAGTAACCTGACTCTAGGTAAGGATTCCAGAGAGACGTGGTAAACACCTGGATTTTAATTATATTAGAGACTTAGCCTCTGAAGGCACTCTTGTGGGACAAGCTAGACCACAATGAGAATGAAATTAGTCAAAAAGGAAAAGGAAGATAAAAAAGGCAAATGCAATCAAATAGGTATAGTATGAGAAAGGGAGAGAAGCAGACCTGTATTCTCACCTAAGATTACTAAATCAAAAAGAATATATTAAAATCTTATTGTATACTGAGCTCTATACCAAACTAAGTTAAGGAAGAAATAAAATTCCTGGCATGCACCTTAAAAAAAAGAAAGGAAAATAGAAATCTTGCATTTAAAAACTTTAAATTTTGGGCTTGGGGTTTTATTTGGTAATTTCAATAAAGTTTTCTAGTGCCTTGTGTTATTCTATTTAAAAAATAGAAGTATATACATGAGAGTTTGTAATTTGAGTCAGCCAGTTGGTTTGTGAACTTGGGAACAGCTGCTTTGGGGAGCTGAACATGGGCCTCTGAGGCAACAAGATGTTACTTCTAGAAGTTGATGGGAATAAAATTGGGCAGAAATGCTAGAACTTCAATGATAACCATGTTTCCTTATTGGTCTAGGACAGTGATTTTCAACTGGTTGTTCGATGGCACACCAGTGTGAATTTTTAAAACATAGAATACCTGACTATGCAGTCAAGGGCACGGACCTCTTTTCCCCTAGATCCGTGGTTGGCAAACTGTGGCTCTCGAGCCACATGTGGCTCTTTGGCCCCTTGAGTGTGGCTCTTCCTAAGCCTTAGGAGTACCCTAATTAAGTTAATAACAATGTACCTACCTATATAGTTTAAGTTTAAAAAATTTGGCTCTCAAAAGAAATTTCAATCGTTGTACTGTTGATATTTGGCTGTGTTGACTAATGAGTGCTGACCACTGCCCTAGATTGTAAAATTAAAAAAATGACAACATCCAATAAAAAAATGGAAACAGCCAACACAACAGTAGTCAAATGGTGTGAATACATCAAAATTATACCGATTTTTTTGTTTTTGTCAGATTGCAAAGCATACATTTTTGGTGTGCTGAAGAATTTTAGTAACTAGTTTATGTGTGCCATGAGATGAAAAAGGTTAAAAATTGCTGGTCTCAGGCAGTGTATTCAGATTTTAACAAAGATGCCATTTTCAAAGAGATGCCACTCACTACAATATTTAAAAGAGAAAAGTGGTGTGGTTTTGGTTGAAACCTAGATGAAGGGCCCAGAGCTCCACCTGCTTGGTTTTCCCTTTGTCTCCAGCATGTACAAGGAGTTTAGAGGTTCCCAAAGAAGGAGGTTGAAAACCAGTGAGCACTGCAGGGTTCACGTATAATTAGGATGCTAGAAACCATTTTCTGAACCTATGGACAGTGTTCTTAATTCATCAGTTCCCTTAGTATTAAATAAAGACTTTGAGATTTTAAAAATGATTGTCTTAATAATGTTGTGAATCCCCACCAGTAACTGGGTCTTCAGATGGAGAATGCAGAGCTGGGCCTGGGGCTCACCTCTGAGTAGCATTATCCTGGAGCTTAGCAGGCAGGGCCAGGCGCCCTGGTTTCTGGGTGTGCCTACAAAAGAGAAACTGGGTTTTTAAACATAAGGCTTAACACCAACTTTAAAATGATGTTTAGTTCAAAGTTCTTGATGAAATTCTTTACGACTCTTCCAAGTAATGGAAATACCTTTCCAGAGTCACTCAAGTTCTGAATAGGGCTTGATTTGGTACATGGGGGAAGGATACACCTCTGACAGCACTTGGAAGAGAGCTGGCAACCCGAGCAGCCTCACTAATGGGTTTTTCCACGGCCTATCCCAGCGTGACCATGAAGTGCTTCATGCAGACCCTTGAGAGCTAAGTTCAGGATTCTCTGCCTTTTAAGATTCTTTAGGATTAACTGCATTCTCTAACACATGCCCATGAAAAGTCCAGGGACAGGGGAGCTAAAAACTGAAACTTGTGTTTCCATTTAGGAAGGGATAATATGGAGGCCCTAAATGAAAAGCTTGAAGGGCTTGAAAAGAATGCTTTGTTTTCTAATAACAAATGTTGCTTATCCATAAGGTAATGGATGGTTCAAGCCTTTTGTTCCTGCCACTGTCCTTTTGCCCACTCTTGTCCATTGGCACCTCCAGCATGTGCAAGGATTAACAGTAACGGACGTGGATCTCACTGACAGAGATTCTTGTTCATGGGCCTTATAAAAAGTTAATGTGGGGGAGGGTGAAGGTTGAAATGAATTGTGAACTTCAGTTATAATACTATTCCTGTCCCCCATTGCCTTAGGTAGTACAATTATTCTAGCATGTGAGCAGAGTCTGTGCTAGAAAATGGAGCTCATCCCCACTTGAAGGTGCTTAGTTTTAACGGGACCACATATGAAGAACACAGGTGCCGCTTTTCTCTCTGAACTCTAGACCCATGTTTTCAGACAGTGTTTCTCCAGCTGTGGGTGGAAAATGAGTTTGGTGGACCACAACTGGCATTTTTATTAAACAGAATAGGATAGGTGTAAAATATCAGAGTGCATCACATTTAAATTTTGTTTTCCAAAACTCCTGTTTCAGTTGTGTCTTTTTATGTTCCTGGGTGTTTCTTACTTTGGCTAATGGTCAGAAATGTTTTAAAAAGCACTAATTTAGCCCATTGTAACATCATCTATAGTAATATTAGAAAGCTTCTTGGTGTTGCTTGATATTTTTCATTTTATTTAAATGTGTTCGGTTTAAGTCACTTTAGTGACCAAAACATTACAATTTTTAAAAAATATATATTTCGCCGAAACCGGTTTGGCTCAGTGGATAGAGCGTCGGCTTGCGGACTGAAGGGTCCCAGGTTCAGTTCCGGTCGGGGGCATGTGCCTGGGTTGTGGGCTCGATCCCCAGTGTGGGGCGTGAAGGAGGCAGCCGATCAACGATTCTCTCTCATCATTGATGTTACTATCTCTCTCTCCCTCTCCCTTTCTGAAATCAATAAAAATATATTTTAAATAAATTAAATTAAATGTATAGCTGAAATTCACACAGGCCCTTCAGATAAGGCAGATCCTAAGCTTTTTCAATATGTTTATTGATTTTTGGGTAGGGTACGGTCTTTTTTTTTTTTAGTTTTATTCATTTCAAACAGGACGGATCCAGCCCGCGGGCCGTAGTTTGCCCACGGCTGCTCTAGCCACTGAGCCAAACCAACTAGGGCCAAAACATTACAATTTGATTCCATTTCTGTCCTTTCCAATTCCCCTAAACTAACAGGAGCCAGTTTAGGAGAAAATGTCAAAGGATTTAGTGGTCTTTTATGTTAAAGCAATATTGAGAAAAATGAATACCAAACTAGAATTAAAGCAATTTTAAGGCTATTTTTATTTTTATGACATAGAAAAACTGTCAGAAATCTCCCTTTAATTGAATGCTTTTATAACTTAATGGTAGTTGGCTATAAAGTTAATTTCTCCAAAGTAGTTTTTTTCTTATTATTCAAAAAGGGAGACAGCTCTAGCCAGTTTGGCTCAGTGGATAGAATATCGGCCTGCAGACTGAAGGGTCCCAGGTTCGATTCTGGTAAAGGGCACGTGCCCAGGTTGTGAGCTCAATCCCAGGTAGGGGCATGCAGAAGGCAGCCAATCAGTGATTCTCATTATTGATGTTTCTATCTCTCTCTCTGTCCCTTCTTCTCTGAAATCAATAAAAATATATATTTTTTAAAAAGGTGGACAGTGCTTTTAGAGACCTGTTAGGCCATATTGGCAAGTGTTTAAAAAGGAAATGTTAAAAGCAATGGCCCTTTCTCCTGGATCTCTGCTGAGTTTAGAACTCACCCGGAGGCCACTTTTCTTTTGCTGTAGAGAGGTTTAGAACTTGGCTTTGGATCCAGACTTGGGGTCCAGTCCTGGACCCACCACACTTTATTTAGCTGGGTAAACCTTGGGTATATTACCTCACCTTTCTGAAAGCCTCTGTTTCTGTAAAAAGTTGACATACCTAATCATAGGTGTATTACAAGGAGATACTACTTACAAAACACCTAGCAGGTGCCTGGGCCATAGGATTTAAATTCTCAGTTACTGTCAGTTCCTATGATTATTGCCTCACGATTCACCTAGCCCCATAGTTGGCAAACTGTGGCTCACGAGCCACATGTGACTCTTTGGCTCCTTGAGTGTGGCTCTTCCTAAGCCTTAGGAGTACCCTCATTAAGTTAATAACAGTGTACCTACCTATATAGTTTAAGTTTAAAAAATTTGGCTCTCTTGCCGAAACCGGTTTGGCTCAGTGGATAGAGCGTCGGCTTGCGGACTGAAAGGTCCCAGGTTCGATTCCGGTCAAGGGCATGTACCTGGGTTGCGGGCACATCCCCCATGGGGGATGTGCAGGAGGCAGCTGATCGATGTTTCTAACTCTCTATCTCTCTCCCTTCCTCTCTGTAAAAAATCAATAAAATATATTTTTAAAAAAATTTTGGCTCTCAAAAGAAATTTCAATCATTGTACTAGTGATATTTGGCTCTGTTGACTAATGAGTTTGCCGACCACTGACCTAGCCTCACTACTTCCCCTTTCACCTAACCTTCCCATGTTGTTAGACTGGTAGAGTTGAGGCATTTCCTAAATCTTCACACTTGAGTGAACCTAGTGTCTCCCTAGCTAGACTTCAGGAGACTCTTGGCTAGGATTGCTGCCATCTGACATAAAACAGTAGAATTTTTCAATTCTCGTAAGTTTTTAAGACAGTGTAATAAGAATTAGTTCATATGTATTGCCTTTATAAATGAACTCAATAAAACAAGAACCGAAACATGTACCATGTGGCTTTATGGTACATGAGAAATTGAATAGTGAATTGGGATGGGGAACCCCAAACAGAATCAGTTATCACATCATTCTTAGAGTAGATGAGTTTCTTGCATTATTTGGATAATAGTTTTTGGAATGTAATCTCAGGAGGAGAAAAACAATGGTGAGTTGAGCATGGGAGGAGAGGCCCCGTTCCAGAGTCTCTGACAAACCGTCTCCTGCTCTACTGCCTGGAACTGTTCCTTTACTTCCGAGCAGTTTCACTTGACCCTTAGCAGTTCCTGATCCTTTGTTCATCCTGGTATAGAGAAATAGTAACCAAAAAAAGAATTTCTCAAATATTTTATTCCTATTACTGGAATTCTTTAAAATGATTATCTCACCTTTTCTAAAAATGGCTTGTCAAAGTTATACACAGGTAGTTGGAAACAAATTTTTTTGAGAAATTAGCTCCAAAGGCCACACAACTTTGTCTTTGTGAAATGAAACTGATCTCTGCCCTAATTGGTTTGGCTCAGTGGATAGAGCATCAGCCTGCGGACTGAAGGGTCCCAGGTTTGATTCCATTCAAGGGCATGTAACTTGGTTGTGGGCACATCCCCAGTAGTGGGTGTGCAGGAGGCAGCTGATCGATGTTTCTCTCTCATCAATGTTTCTAACTCTCTATCTCTCTCCCTTCCTCTCTGTAAAAAAATCAATAAAATATATTTTTTTTAAAAAAAGAAACTGATCTCCGTTTGCTTTTTCAGATTAACAATATGAAGACCAAATTTAAAGAAACAATTGAGAAATGTGATAATCTGGAGCACAGACTAAATGACCTTCTAAAAGAAAAGCAGTCTATGGAAAGAAAGTAGGTATAATTGGTCTGTTCTTTAAAGGAGGCATTTTATTGTAACAGGCAACATAAACAGATAATTTCCTTCACTCCGAAGGAAATACTCATTTTCAAGTGTATCACCAGGTTTTCAGGGGTCTATCTGTATGTAGAGCAAACTTACTGTGACTTCCTATTTATTAAAATCACGGTGTTTCATGCCAGATGGATATCGTAGGGAATACAGTGTTCTCTCCTGAAATGTGCAAATATCTTCTACATTTGCCTGTAGAAAGCAATTTCCTTGTTCCCAGAGCCTGTAGCTTCTCTGAGCCATGGTGGCTGAGAAATGATAGGAAAGAGACTGTGTTTAAGCTGGAGATGGCATGTGTTCTGACCTTAGACAGGAATTAAAGGCCAAAGATATTGAGTATGGAGCAAAAACCTCATGAACAGCATGGCAAGACCATCACTCTACCCCTGCTATATGTGAAGATGGTTATTACTGATTAAAATTACTTTTCTGGTCTATGTTATACTCACAAAAATAACTGGATTTTTACCTCCAGACAAATGGATAAAAAAAATGTAAGGGTGATAATTGTTCCTTAAAAGTTTTTTAATAGACCTTTTATCTTGGAGTAAATGTAGATTAATAGAGGTTATAAGGTAGCACAGAGTTCCTGTATACCCTTCACACATTCCCCCAAAAGTTGGATTTTTAAAAATAGTTTTTTATATTTGTGTGGTAAAAATCTATATAACAGAAAACTTGTAACCATTTTTAAGTGTACACTTCAGTGGCATTAAATACATTCATAATGTACAACTGTCACCACCATCTGTTTCCAAAATTTCTCATCACCACAAACAGGAACTCTTCACCAAAGGTTTAAAAAAAAACAAAACACTGTGATAAAATCCCAACATTAGTAGAAATACAAATTAAAAATCCTCCTATACTTTTACCACCTTAATAAATTGAACTATATTAAAGACTTAAAAAGAAAACTGGAGGTGTTTTCCTAGATCCCAATATCTGGAAGTAACCATTATTTAACAGTACCAGTGAATATTTACTCTTACAGATCTGCTGTACCTATATAAACATCTTACATACACAGTCTTTTTTTTCTACACAATTAGAATAATACTACGTATTCTATTTGGTAAAATACTCTGGAGATTTTTTTCATGCTGGCACATATTAGCTCTATCATGATCTTTGTAATGGCTGTGTAGTATTCCATTGTGTGAAGGTCCCATAATAATTTTTTAAATATATTTTTATTGATTTCAGAGAGGAAGGGAGAGAGAGAGAGAGAGAAACATCAATGATGAGAGAGAATCATCCATCAGCTGCCTCCTGCACACCCCCCACTGGGGATTGAGCCCAAAACTTGGGCATGTGCCCTTGACCGGAATCAAACCTGCGACCCTTCGGTCCTCAAGCCATCGCTCTATCCACTGAGCCAAACTGGCTAAGGCAAACTTTTTGTTGAGGTTGTTAATCTTCACCCAAGGACATTTTTCCATTTATTTTTAGGGAGGTTGGAAGAAAGAGGAAAAGACAGAGAGAAACATCGATGTGAGAGAAGCACATTGATTGGTTGCCTCCTGCACAAGCCCCAGCCAGAGCCTGGGTGGGAGCCTACTACCAAGGTACATGCCCTTGATCGGAATTGAACTCGGGACCCTTTGGTCCACAGGCTGGCTCTATCCACTGAGTCAAACCGGCTAGGGCAGTCCCATAATAATTTCAGGCAGTTCCCATTGATGGACATTTGTCTCAAGTCTTCCACTATTGTAAACAACATTGTGATGAGCCTCTTTCTGCGTGTGTCTTTTCAGCGCATTCCTGAGTATATCTAGTTTACAGGATAAGTTCCTAAAAGTAGAGTAGCTGTATCAAGGACCATGTGAAAATTTTGACTTTCTAGTTAGCTCTAAGTTAACTCTGAGAATTTGTACCAGTTCCCACTCCAGTGCCTTGTGTAGGAGTGCCTCTTCCCATGTGTGTGAGCTCTTTGGCATTCTGATACATAAAAATGGTGTTTAAATTTGTGGTTCTTTACTTATGAGTAATAAATGCAGTGAGGTCAGATCACTTGACTCTCCAAGAATGTAACTTTTCTTCATAACTTCTTTATCACCATTGTCCTCTCTGAAACCTATTTAACCACTACTGCAAAACAAGAGAAGCAGTAGAAGTTTTACCGTAAACCATGAATCACAGAATAGTTTCTGCTATGGAAAAATTTCTATGCCTAAGAATGAAAAATTGTCTTAAAGCTATACTTGGGTTAAGTAGTGCAAAATTCTTGCTTTGTGTAGCTGTTGCAATGGTAGCAAACCAGTCTCCCTGAACAGGTAGGGAGCATTCCACCCTAAACGATTCTGAGATCGTAGCTCCTCTGTTCAAGCTCAGAGTAGATACAGGTCTGTGTCAGCAAATGAAAAATATGCTTTTGTCTTCCCTTGTTTTGTAAAAGGTGCACTCAGCTAAACACAAAAGTAGCCAAACTCACCACAGAGCTCAAAGAGGAGCAGGAAATGAACAAGTGTTTGCGAGCCAATCAGGTCCTCCTGCAAAACAAGCTGAAGGAGGAGGAGAGGATTTTGAAGGAGACCTGTGACCAGAAGGATCTGCAGATCACCGAGATCCAGGAGCAGCTGCGTGATGTCATGTTCTACCTGGAGGCACAGCAGAAGATCAACCACCTGCCTGCTGAGACCCGGCAGGAAATCCAAGAGGGGCAGATCAACATTGCCATGGCCTCAGCCTCAAGCCCCGCCTCTTCCGGGGGCAGTGGGAAGCTGCCCTCCAGGAAGAGCCGCAGCAAGAGGGGCAAGTGACCTTTGCAGAAACAGGTGTCCCTGAGACTGTTTTCCCTGGCACGGCGAGGGTGTGCTGGGGCCTAAATGTGAGGGTGGGCCCGAAATAAGTACAAGTGAGGATCAAGCTGCAGTTGTTTGGATCTTTCATTTGCTAGTGTTTGGTGTAATGAATGTAGAGGGTTGACGACTAGGAGAACTGATGGAAAGGGGAATGTTTTAAATGGTGGCTGCTTTTTTCAACCTAATAGTTCACTAACCTCGGACATTCTATTGACCATTTTGCCTTCCTACTTGATAGATGCCCCAAATCTGCTGTACATTTTTCTGTTGTATTTATTGAGTTGGTGTTTTTGACATTCAGTTCTGGGGTCGGTGGGTAACATTCCTAGTCCTAAAGCACCAAACTTCCCTGAGGTCATAGAAGCTGCCTTAGAGAGAAGTTTGCATTAGCTACTGAGGATTTATGAAAATTCCAGAGCATTAGTCTCATATCATTGTCATCCCTCCCTTCCTCTAGGGAATTGAAGGACTGGTTGAATGTTATATGAAAAGAGGTTGGGCCTGTAAACCAGGCCCTGGCTTGTCTCCAGCAGCCATATCTTTTTGCTCTAGGGCTAGCCAGGAAAAACAACAATCCAGGGCAGACTGAGTAGACCCAGTGTAGGAAAAATGGTGGTGTTTCCACTTTGTTTATTTTTTTTATTTTTTTTTCTTCTTTTCTTAAGCCTTTTTTTTTCCCCCAGAAAGGAAGGGAGAGGGAGAGAGAAACATCAATGGTGAGAGGGAATCATTGATTGGTTGCCTCCTGCACACCCCTTACAGGGGAATGATCCCACAACCCGGGCTTGTACCCTTGGCTGGAATCAAACCCAGGACCCTTCAGTCCGCAGGCTGACACTCTGTCTACTGAGCCGAACCGGCTAGGGCAACTTCATTTATTTTTGATGATTCTACACCTCCCCATGAACCTCAAATAAGGAGGAAACTTAATAGTGACTTCAAGACTCAAATCTCAGCGTGAATTTCCTTGCATCTAGCAAGAATGAGCAGTCAGATTTATCATCCATGTTAAAATGTAGAGTGAGGCCTCTGACTAGCTGATTGTGTATTTTGCTGGAATCAGTATTTTTTGAATGTTTACAAAAGATTGGGCTGCATGTTCAGGTTGCGGCTAGACGGAGCTTGGGCAGATTTTCAATTATGCTTTCAAGCTGTAACCAAAGGGTGTTTCTAAATCCAAAAATTAGAATTTTAACAGAGCCCCCTTTAAAACTGTCATGTAATGCTTGTTGTAGGCCAACAGAGGGGCTGTGTACTTTCTCTAAAAACAAACTCCAAATAATTCGTAATATGCAGTAATGAACAAAATTAAAATAAGAGCTGTTGGAATTTTGCCTTCAAAAGTGGTAAGTTGGATAGGTTAAGAAGACATACTGTTACATGATGAGTTTGTTTTCTGCTTTATAATTAGCCAAAGTTCAAATTATCACATTTCAGAATTTTTTTAGCCAGCCTGTGGGTAGGCCTCATCCCCTTTGACCTAAATGTCTTACAAGTTACTTGTTAGCACACCAACTGTATCGCTAATCACCATCCATTGTTGTGGGATGTGCTACAGCATTCCCAAAGAACCTTACCTGTAACTTTGCAAAATGAATGTACTTAAGACATTCTCAGTTTTTGGCAGACCGACTGTAAGTCCTCTTTGGACTTAACAGATATCTCAGATATCTTAGAGCAACAGTGGGAATGTAAAACATAACCTAATTCCCTTTCCTATAGAGATTCTATTTTATTTAAAATCTATTTTTACACTAGTTAGAATCCTGCTTTTTTGGCCAAGTACTTGTCTTGCATGTCTGACCTTGCAGAAGCTGGGGTGGATTGTAGCATACTAATGAAGAGAATTACAAGTGCTTTACAAAGCTTGCACACTCCTCATTTCTCTGTGATCACCTCTATCAAGCAGCTCTACCACCAGCTGGGAAAATGCAGATTTTCTGCCTAGGTGGGATAAATGTTCTGGAAGCCTGTTCCCAGAGAAATGAGCAAATGGGCAAATGTTTCCAAACTACTTGAAGGTTTCTAAAAAATGTTGCAGAAAATAAAAATCTTATTAAGATATGGAAAGAAAATGTTTTTTAAAAATCTGTTAAAAGAGTTATGTTTGAATTTGACAAAATCACATAAGATAGACGCTTGTCAGTGTTTTCTTCAGGGTGGAAATGAACCACTTAACATACCCATACTACCTTGAACAATGACATTGCATTAAAGTAACCAAACTTTGAAATGATTCTGTTTCATGTGAAATTTGTGTGTCTCCTATTGACATTTGCTTGGGAGTGTATATCTAAATAATGTAAGAAAGTGTCAGTGGCCTGAATTTCAATCTTGCAACAATGTAGTGAGCAGCTAGATTATATTCATTTTTCTGCCCCTTTGCTCCCAACTTTCCTAACAATAAGTACCTGAACAGATACAGGATAGGAAAAATTATTTTAATTTGGAGGCTCGGGGTAGAAGACCAGGCACAACTCTTGCAAACCAAAAGCAATGAATTTATACACCTAAGACTTTTTCCTAGGCCCGACACCATGCTGAGATTGTTTTATTTTTAAAAACTGTCACAAAATGTGACTTCCTAGGATACACTGAGGCAGACCCCCTCCTTGCTTGCATAGTGAGAGTGTCCTCATCAAAAGGGCTGAGGAACTCCTACCTAAATAGCCAGCCAGCTGAGTGTGGAGAATTTGGCAGATCACAAATGAACGACCGTCTGTCATCACTTGGAAACCCCTCTCCTAGTGCAGTTGGGATCCACAAGCTACGAATACTACCCTTGAAATTTGGCTGCTTTATACCCAATGCCACATTGCTTGCGATGAAGTCCATGGGCTGATTTAAAAAAGGAAAGCTCCTCACAGCATTTGAGGGAAGTTACTTCGTTTTCTCCGGGATAAAACTGAATTAACTGTCGAGGTGATTCTGCTATGGCACTTCTTTCTTGGCAGCAGAGGGCATTTTTCAGGAGTCTCCAGCCCTGACTCCTCCTCCATGGCACCGAGGGACAAGTAAGCCACTCAAAGACATCACCTTTGGCGAATTCAGGAAGCCACCAAGTAAGTGATCCCTGGCAGGCCTCCGCGCTGGCCAGACTTCATTCTTGCCTGCGAAAATTTCTGAAACGGGAATCCCAGAATATCTACCTAGTGGCCTCACCAGCAGATGGAGCTTTTAAAGTTAAATGCTTAAATGACAGGAAAGAGCGAAGTGGTAATAGGGAGAAAAGCCTTTCCCTTCAGTAACCCCGAGTTTTACCCCAGAGCCAAAGCCAAGTGTGTCCTCTGAAGTTGATTTTCCCCCAAACACAGTACTGAGGTCAGCTTGGAGCAAATGGAAAGCCAGTCTTTGGATTTGGGTTTTTGGGGACTTCAGGAGAACTCAATAGGGCTTCTTTTATTTTTTATTCTTTATGGGAGGGGTTGTGGCCTGTTTAGTCTGGCTAATCTCATAATCTATTCCGTTACCTGCTCTTTTCATTTTTTTAAATTAATGGTAACCCTTTACCACTTAATGCTAACCTTACTTTGCATGCCTTAAACTTCACGCCCACCCCGGAATGCTCAGACACTTACCAATAATGGGTTCCATCAAACATTAATTTTGAAAGCTGTCGTTCCAGGAGCCAAAACTATTTCAGAGTCATTTTCGCTAGTACACTTTTGGAGCAGCCTCTCACTGTAATTCGGAAGCTTAGGAGAGCATGAAAGGGGCACTGCATTGGTTCTTAATCAGGATTTTGCATTCTTGCTGTGGTAAAGAAGGCCAGGCAGAGATGAACAATCTGTTATTCTACACAACATGACTGGTCCTTGGGGCCTAATGTTGAATTGCTTCGGGTCAGAAACTTCTCACTGGATTCATCTCGAAAATGTGGTTTGGTACTTGGCACGGAGCTGCGCTGGTGCAGATAACATGCCTTACTCGGAGGCTAATTACCAAGCGCACTAAGTGAACTAAAGCCGATTTGCTCTTTTGCCGACCAAGTTCTAAATCCCCTGACCTGAGACTCCTTTCAAATTCAGCCTCGAAAAATAAATGCAGAGAGGTTTGTCCAGTGGGTGAAGTCAATCAAAGTGTGAAATCACCTGCAAGGTCTTGGAGCATGAAGGTTTATGATACCCAGGATAAACCTATCCTAGCACATGACTGATGGTGCAGTTCTTTCCAAAAGATAACCCTATGGCACTGCACATAAATGTTGAATAGGAAAAACAGTTCTGACTTGTTCTCCACATTTTTTGTTTTGTTTTTTAAATATATTTTTATTGGTTTCAGAGAGAGGGGGAGAGAGAGAAACATCAATGATGAGAGAGAATCATTGACCAGTTGCCTTCTGCACACCCCCTACTGGGGACCAAGCCCTAACTGGGACTCGAACCCTGACCTGGTTCATAGGTCAATGCTCAACCACTGAGCCACACCAGCTGGGCAGCCTCCACGTTTTCGGCCATCTTTGGCTGCAAGAAACAGCAGGTCCCAGAACAAATCTTGTACTTTTGTTCCTCATTTAAAAAAGAAGAACCCACCGAGATCCCCCTCTCCAGCTGTATCAATTCCTGATTGTAAATTCTCAATCCCTAGGTTGTGGCCCAATGAGCCAAAAGTTCAGATTTTCCCTAGGGAATTGGGAGAAGGTGAAGGCCATTAAAACTGGTTCTCAACCTTCCTAATGCCGCGACCCTTTAATACAGTTCCTCATGTTGTGGTGACCCCCAATTTCATTGTTACAAGTTGAACATAATTAAAGCATAGTGATTAATCACAAAGACAATATGTAATTATACATGTGTTTTCCGATGGTCTTAGGCGACCCCTGTGAAAGAGTCGTTCGACCCCCAAAGGGGTCTCGACCCACAGATGGAGCACCGCTGCCATTAAAAGAACGAGTTGTTTCCGCCACTGGAGAAAACTTTCCTGTATCACTTGACATCATTAATATAATTATACTTAGCATCAAAAGACTTTGGATGCTAACTGAAAAGAAGAAGCGCAAACTAATTTCTGGGCAGAAAGAAATGATCACTGAGAAAGACCTGGAAGAGAAGAAGAGTAAGCGGAA